TAAGATGGTTTCAGTCACTCATCCTTAAACACAACCATATAATCACCTTAGAGTTAATCCTCACATTCATACACTTCTAGGAATTCAACAGGGTATCACTCAAAACTCTAATTGATCATCAACCTAAAATTCAAAGGTTGACAAATATCATAAAACGACCATACCATAAATCAAATCTTTTTCTAATCACGAAAACTCACCAATATGGCACACCATCTTCAAATAGTTGATATCAACTAAGCATCCCAAGATTTCCAATACCCCAGTTGCAAGCAGTCACCGAATCCACCGGCACGAAGATTGCCAAAATGGAAAGATCACGACTTGTATAATTAGGGCAATACATAAATCTAATACCTCAATTATTCAAACATGAACCGACTTTTCGCTCTGAAATCTTGAAATTCAAAACCAACCACAAGTCGAATCATTTGACACTTCCATTTCCAATGACTCCTCTAGTCCTCAAATACAACTCATTTTTTCACAAAGAAGTGGTTTAAATCTATGTGTCTAATAAGTTCAAGGTTTTCAAGTATAAGACTCATAAAATATGCCAATTTGCAATTTTTTAAAAGATTTACTAAATATAAAATCTTTATAACAATTTTAAGCATTCATAAAAACTACTACCATTATAAGGTAGTTGTGCGAAGTCGCCGCAAATGCCAAGCACATAACACCAACCAGAAAGCCGCATGATTGTTGCTAAAAGAACAATAATGACAAGAACGAAAATACACTCAACAAAATCCTTTAAACGAACCATTATATGTCAACTTACACATATGCATTTCAAAACTTCACCCTTGAGCCACAAAATAACATGAAACAAAATTCCAATGAAACTTTGCATGCAAACACATGAGATCAAGTGATCTCATGCGTTCAAATTTTGAAACGCTCTCTTCGATGCATTATTCTTATAAATCAAAATGTGCAACATAACTACCACATGCATTCTTGGGTAAAACATGTAATGATTCATGTCGGTTTTAATTTAAAACTACCCCAACATTATGCGTTCAATGATTCACAATACCGGCAAAAAACAACATGAATGAAAATTTCCAATAAGAGTTTGTTTGCAATTTGAATTCAGTAAGACAATTCATGTATTTCAAAACATGTGCTACACTCTTGTGTATGCCAAAACATTCTCTAATCCGTAACATGTCATTCAAGAATGATTTGACAAAACATGAAATAATTTATGCAATTAATATTTTTTTCATAAATGAGTATCATGCATGCTTTTGGTCGAGACCTAATGTCTTAGAACCATGCTCGCCAAGTGTACTAGTCACACTATCAAACTCGGAACATATAATATCTTAAGACGTTAATCTACAAACAAGTCGATCAACCTCACAATTTCTCCAAATCAATGGTGACTTAACAAGCCCATGGTTCAATCTTAACCAACATCTCTGACCTATAATGGTCGGTTTAACTTGATCACCATATTTAACGATCATATAAAGTCACGATCCTACAACCATCTATTTTTTTAACTATTATTCACTAGGAATACACCACTACCCCATCGATCATCACATTTAGACGATTCAAGCACGCACATGTAATTGTAGATTCAGGATAATACTATCCAGGTGCAACAATAAACATACCATATATAGGAATCCTTGCTACCATTACACTTATGGCTTTAAAGTCATTCAAAACTCCTTTTTTGACTTAGAACAGTGTTAGAACATGTTTGTATGTGATTTTGGGATATACTCATTTTACTTTTTTATTTTATTTTGAAAATTTGGGCAAGTTATTGTACAACAAATTTGGTGTTTTTAAATTACATTTTTAAAAGAAAAACTATTAATTGACGGATTAGCGACGGATTATCCGTTGGTAATTTATTTATTAAATCCACCGGTAAATGACGTCGATGACCCATCTGTAACATGGCCGTGGGTATCCGTTGGTGATCTATATCTATCAGTAACCCGTCGGGAAATAGTCGTCGTCGATGATTCTTTTTTCCACGGTTTTTCTTTTGACAGACTTTCACCAACGGATCAACGTTGGATCCGAAAATCTGTCTATAAAAATAAAATCTGCCTATAAAGAAGGAAACATGATGGATCCGAAAATCTGTCTATAAAAACAATGAAATCTAAAAATTACATATTTTATCTTTTTTAATCACAAAAAGTTATATAATAAGATTTGTCGGTCAGATGCCTGATGAAGTTCCAAAATCAACTCCTCTCTCTCTCCCCCCTCTCTCTCTATATATATATAATGTATATATATATATATATATATATATGGTATTTTTGGAATTTAACTCAAACAATTATTTCAAAAAAAGGAAAGCGAACATTTAATAAAAAGAAATAAAATATTCTGATTGATTTTAACTAAAGAACATGCGAAATATATATGGACTTTGCATTAAATGCTTTTTACGATATTAAAAAATAAAATAGTTTTAATATAGGTTTTTTGATTACGATTATACCAAACAAATGACACAAAAATCCATAAGTGTGGTGTCTGATTGGTTAAGGTCAAAAGTGTCTGGAGGTCCCACGTTCAAATACAATAAGGAACAAAAATTCTCTTGTGGCTACGGAGGTTCAAATATGGTGACTCCTACCTGCAAAGCAGTCGGCTCGCATAGTGGATTGGATATCCTGGTTAAAAAAAATAAAACAAATAGGACCAACTAGACATCATGTTCCTGGGGAAAAAAAAACCCCTTTTTAGACTCATTAATTCTATACAGAAATATTATACATTAAAATGTGACCAAAGATGTCCATCGAATACTTGATTCATTATTTAAAAGTTGTGTAATAATTATTTGAAATAAAAAAATTAGTCTCCATGGAAAACCATCATTAAATTTACCATATGAAATTGGACTCAGCAAGAAACCATAATTATTGCTGATAGACCCATTAAACATCCTTTTCATCAAGTCAATGCTTTGTTAGTCAAATTCGAGTCGAATTAAAAATAGAACGTTATATTGTATTCTAAACACGTAACTGTTCTTTCAATATTGATGTTAGTCAGATCAAATATCATTTGGGATCGTTAATTATTTTTCATGTTCAAGGATTTATTTGTCTAGACAGTCAACAAACGCTCATCGGTACAGTAAATTGTTCTAATCACCGAAGGAAATTAAAATCCGCCGGTGATGATCAATCCGGTGGTTGGTGATCCATCACAAATTCGTCGGATGGAAAATTGTTTGTTTTGTAGTGTTAACAAAACGTTCATCTGTTATTAATTATTTGGAATTATATTAATTAACAGTCACGTTTTTTTTTTTTTAAAACCTTGACCACATTTTTGTGACCATATAAACAATGGCGTGTGACCAAATCAATATTTGTATGTTTTTTAATACATTACGTAATTTAGCGAATATTTATTTTTTTATTAACCTGGATATCCAACCTGTTATGCGAACCGACTAATTCCAGGACGACCACTTGCTTTGCAGATAGCCTAGAGTCACCGCATTTGAACCCCCATGGCTACAAGAGGATTTTTATTCCTCCTTGGATTAGAACTTGGAACCTCCAGATACTTTTGACCTTCGGAGCCAAAATCAAACCAATCAGGCACCATCATTGTTATTAATTTAGCGAATATTTAAATCTATGTGATGAGATAATGGTGGAATACATACAGAAATTATTAAAATGGAAAGAATTTTTAGAAAGTGAAATCTAATTATTCTACATGGAAGTTGGTCCACAATTGCATTCAAGTCTTCATAGAATGTTGACTATAGGAAAGCCAATCATATAATATATATATACACTCCATGGTCTACTTAAAACAAAACAAAATAATGTAATACATTCTTTTATAATATATAATATAATAAATACATTTTAGATTAGACTTTAGACACATTCAAGTGATCAGTTTGTCTGCAGTATTAGGAGTTATCGAACTCAAAGTAACCAGTTTGTAAAAGTTAGACCATAGAGAATAATCAAGTCTCATACACATATTTCGGGTACTTTCCACACCTACGTCTTAGAATATAGAACTTTGTAAACATCGTATTAACCCCCCCCCCCCCCCCCCCGGTGTGTTATTGGTATATTGTTCTGGGATGGACTATTACGCTGTTGATTAGAGTAGGGATCGTGAGAGTGCAAAAGCTTCGTATTCACATGGTTTTATGGTGAAAACTATATGCAAAATGCCAAGACATGGGACCAAGTATGTAACTAGGTTATCTTACTATAAGACTTAAGAGTAGGACTGAAATTGGTATTGCTAAAAATAAAAGAGACGAAACATCTTATAGATCAAAAAACCAGATTTTGGACAAACACTAATTCCATTTAGACCCCATAAAATACTTTCTCATTACAAAAGTATTTCACATTTCATCGCCAACAAGGACGGGACCTACTAAGGACCGAGCAGAGTCTTGTGCACCCTTTCACTTGATTATCGCAAGAGAAAAAAATTTAAGCGACATGAAGGTGCACCCTCTTGATTTTGAGAGTGCCCTCGTATTTTGAAACCTACTTTGCAATATAAATGGAAACTTTATGGGGTGGCTTAGTGTTTTCAACTAAAGCTCCTCCTTATGGGAGGTCTTGATTCAATTCCCACTTGTAGCAAATATATAACTTTTTCTATTCACAATTTTAAGGTATGGAGTCCCTATTCATTCGATATTCTTTCGCGACATGGAGAATTCATTTTTTTTTGGACGGGGAGTGGGTTGGTCAATCTGTTTTTTTCCATTGAAGAGGTACTTAGGAGTCAAATATGAGCACCGTGGATTTTTATTTTCCTTTGGAGTGCATAATATGCCAGTCGAGAAGAAATCCCATCAAGTCCTACACCTGCCCGAGCTTTCTGATCAACCAAGCCCCTATTTTAGGGACATATGTGTTAGGTAGGCTTAGGGATCACTGATTAGTCGAATGAGCCCATCTTTCTGGCATTTGAAAGAGCCGGAGTTAGGAATAAAAAAGAAGTAACTATTTTTTTAAAGCTCATACAAATTTTAATTTGATAAACTTGGCTGTACATTATTCTTTCTAGCAATAAACTTGGCTGCAAGTTTATTTCATGAACTGGCTATGATATTGGGAATATAAATCCATAGTCGACCACAAAAACTCGTCACCAATGGCCATATAATCATGGCAAGCAGCGGGAGCAACCAAACCATTGGCAACATCCAAATCCGAAGAATATTCAGTCGATCTCGTGCTATTGTAATCTGGAAAGATTGGGTCTGTCCAAAAATTTCCATCGTATTCGCCACCGTATGTTTCTACCGCTGAATCGCCACTCGAAACCAAGCATTCGGAGATGCTAAACATCGAAGATGTAAGTTCTGCACTTGAAGAATAAGATGATATTGATCGTGATTCTGAGGATTGTGTCACATATGGATATTCATGAGTGTCAGCAAATGACGTTTCTGAAGATAATGATGCCCATAACGCTTCAAGTTCATCCATTTCCCCCAACTGTGGGTCTTCCATGGAATTCTTTGTCGGTTTAGTCTGATTGGATTCACGAGGAGTGTCATCATGCACATTTTTCAAGACATTTTGATCTTGTTTAGACCTTTTTCTCAAATGGGAGTTCCAATAATTCTTAATTTCGTTGTCGCTTCTTCCTGGTAATTTTGCTGCAATAGTTGACCATCTACAAACACCGAATCTGTTCTTAGGAACACGAAATTATACATACATATGTATATGTATATGTATATGTATATGTATATGTATATGTATATGTATATGTATATGTATATGTCTGTATAAAGTTCACCATAGAAAATGAACGAAATATATATGAAAACCATACTTGTTGCCAAGCTCGTTATGTAATTCTATGATCAGATCTTCTTCTTCTTTTGTAAAATTCCCATGTTTCAAATTGGGTCGGAGATAATTCATCCACCGCAACCTGCAACTCTTTCCACATCTAGACACGCCTTAACAAAGATAAACAGAAGAACAATTAGCAATTAAGCAAATCTCATGAAAAACGATGCTTTTTAGCTTCTCTAGATTTCTTATTCAGACATCTCAGGTTCTTAACGACTTAAGAAAAATGCTTACCGGCAAACCTTGGAATCTCACGCCAGTTCCAATGGCCGTATCTCTCGATATATGCTCTTAACTTATCATCTTCTTCTTTGCTCCATGGACCCTTTCTCTTTCCATTTTTGTCAAAATATGGTGTTCTCGACATCTCTCTCTCTCTCTCTCTAGGTTTCAAGATTTCAAGATCTCTGCTGCGATCACCTCAGTGTTCCAAGTGCATTCTTATAGTGATAACAACCCACATGATCCTTACTTGGTTCATGGTCAAAAACCATCAATGCATGTGCTTGACCAGGAAACTGTGACCTTATCGTAGAGAAGATCTCATGAAACTTCCATTATTAATAATTTAAATAGTGCTTTTGTTTAAAAAATATCTGTACTGGAAAACTTGCAAGCCAGTGTCCTGTTTATATGTTAGATTTTCTGTCCTTATCCATTAACGTCATAAAGCATTCAATGGGTTAAATTCTATTATCGTACATGTATCTAGCGTATCTGTTTGAAATCTTGTGTGCAACTTTTTTAAATGTTAAAATCAGATCAAAATTCATAAATCGAGAGTGAAAAAAGTATCTCAAGGGGTTAAGTGACTCTGAAACTATATCAGATGCGGAAACTGGAAAGCGCTCCGCCTGACGTTAGTGTGTTAATGTTGATATCTGTGAAGAGAAAGTTAGTAGATAGAGCATCCACACGTTGATGTTTTCATTAAGGGTGCGTTTGGTACACTGGACAAGGACATGATAAAACAGGACAGGGATCTCTGTCACATGTTTGGCATGAATTTTATGTGGAACTGACAGGAACAAAATGGAAAAAAGTGGAACAGGGTGGAAAAAAGTGGAACAGGCCTGTTTCACCCCTACCCCATGGAACATGGTGGAACAAGGTGGAACAGACTTATATTTTACCAATATAAACTCAAAATAAAACTTAATTCTCTTCTAAAACCTCAAATAGGTCTCTCTTTTACATTTATTCATTCTTTAAATTTTATTTATTGTATTTTATATTTCTTAAACTTTCATTTTACTGTATTCAAAATATTATTTTTATACGTTTTCTATATTTTTATTAATTTATGTAAATCGGGAGTGAAAAAAGTATCTCAAGAAATCAAGTGATACTACAACAAAATCGGGTTTATAGGACACTCCTAAATTCTAAGTGTTTATAGGACATAGTTTATAGAACCAAAAAAAAAAATAAAGTGTCCTATCTAAAGTGTTGTAATAAGTTTATATGACGTTTTTTGACGTCGTAATAAGTTTTTTAGAATATTTTTAATATAAAGCGTCATATTATCAACTTTATAGGACACTATTTGAAAAACTGTCATATAAAAACAAATGTCCTATAAAAATTGAGTTTATAGGATACTTTCTCAAAAGTGTCTTACAAAGTTGTTAATGCGACACTTTGTATTAAAAATGTTCTAAAAAACTTGTTAAGACACCCAAAAACGTCATATAAACTTATTACAACACCTTTATATAGGATGCTTTATATTTTGGTCATATAAATTAAGTCCTATAAGACGGTCTATTGGAACGCTTAGAGACTGGGGGTGTCCTATAAATTTTGTTGTGGTTTGACTCTGAAACTACGTTAGATGCGGAAAGCGCTCTGCATGACGTTAGTGTATTAATGTTGATACCTGTGAGGAGAAAGTTAGACCTATCCACAGTGTTGATGTTTTCATTAAGCACAGTTTTTTCGTTTCAAATTATCGCCATCTCAATGATGTCAAAAACCTCACTCAAGCTTTTCGATAGTTTTTTCAAGCTTTTTGGAGTCGTACCATTTTCACTTTATATCGTTTATATATTTTTATGTATAAAAATGAATATGTTTTTGGTGTCACTCCCTAATTGGTTACAGTGGTCAGATATATACACGGATAGATTTGTTTCTATTACACACATGGTTTGATATAATATGCATTAAAATGTGGTTTAATATTTAATTAAGTTATTAGCATCATGTAAACTAATTAGTTAATATACATTATGCCATACCCATAAAATCCATTTATTTAAGACCTTCATGCACAAACCACAAGGATGGTGTCTGATTGGTTTGAGCTTGACTTCAAATGTCAAAAGTATCAGGAGGTCCCAGGTTCAAATCCAAGGAGGAACAAAAATCCCTTGTGGCCACGGAGGTTCAAATGCGGTGACTCTGGGCTATCTGCAAAGCAGGTGATCGCCCTGGGATTAGTCAGCTCGCATAGCGAGTTGGATATCCAGGTTAATAAAAAAATACGCATGTTTGACACAATTTCTAAGTTAAATTCTTTCTAAAATCGATTCGATGTTTCCGATCATAACTTGTAATTGTTCATTAATCGTGACGACGACGAGTGATATGGTTTTCTTTTACTTCTCATTTAGTTTTGTCTACATGATCAATCTTTTTCGTATTTTTGTTATAATAAATATCTGTCAAGGATACTTTCGTCAATTTACATTTACAAGTGGTTCTCTTCAATTAGTTGGAAATTGGTTCGTTGATTTTTAGTCGTCTAACAACTAGACTTAAAAGTCGTCCAGACGTTTGGTTTAAGAATCGGGGATGAGGATGGAGATTGGGTTTCCCACTACCCTTAAAAGACCGTTGTCATCTCTATATATAAACAATGATTTGTCCAATAATAAGATATCAGAAAATTCCCAAATGAATCGTCAATAATAAGTACTGATATAAACTGTAACAAATTTAATTTGATCGACATCGTCAATTTACACATTAGTTATTTGCATTAATGAAATTGTAATTTTAATTTATTTATGTCAAATTCAATGATTAATTATGATTTTCTATGGCAACTAATTAAAACTCAACATAAAGATTTAATTTGATTATTGATATCTATTTTTGGATTACATCAATAGAAATCTGCTATATGTAAGAGCTGTTTAATTGGAGGTTTTAAGCAATAATCAATGCGAATGAAATTAAAAGAAATTGTTTGGTTTTCTATAATATTATGGCTCATTCCTGCATAAGCCCAAAATTTCATTACTGATTAAACCGGGAGAAATGAAAGCTTATTCCCTATCATTTTTCATTCCATTTTCTACTGATAATCAAAACTTTGATATGCTCATTTACAATAAAAACCACTAAAAATTATATATATATATATATATATATATATATATAAGGGTTGGTTCAAATACTAATTAAGATTTTTGTGTTAACTTTGTTAACCAAGCTCAACCAATCATATTTAATATTTTCTTTAGGTTCATATATAACTCATATATTAATGACAAGGGTAATTAAGTAATTTGTCATTTATGTAACTCCCAAATCATTAATTGGGAGTTACAAATGTAAAAATCTCAATAATTGATGATTATGTAATATTGATATTTTTTTATACGTGTTCATGTTTTGTAATTTCGATTTATTCTATCCATAATGATAATGATTTTGTAATTGTTAAAGAATTTCCAGTTGTAAAGATTTCGATATCGTCCGAGTAATATGGATAAATTTATTGGAAAACAGATCGACAACAATGAGAATGAAAAGGTTAAAATCGTCTACGACTACAATCGGAATTTTAATTTATATGTAATTGTTAAAGAATTGTTCACAAGTGTTCATATTGTGTTCATATGTACACTAGCTGCATATCTCAACTTTGGCTTGCTCCTGAATGTGTTCATAATGAAGGAACTATTGTTCACAAACTGTTCATATTGTGTTCATATGTACACTAGCTGCATATCTCAACATTGGCTTGCTCCTGAATGTGTTCATATTGTGTTCATATGTACACTAGCTGCATATCTCAACTTGGTTTGCTCCTGAATGTGTTCATAATGAATGAACTATTGTTTACAAACTGTTCATATTGTGTTCATATGTACACTAACTGCATATCTCAACATTGATTTGCTTCCGAATGTGTTCATAATGAAAAAACTATTGTTCACAAACTGTTCATATTGTGTCCATACCTATTTTTTTATTTATTTACTTTCGTGTAACAACTATTCTTATTATATTCATATTGTGCTCATAAATGCTATACAGTCCAAGTTCATATATATGTCAATTTTTGTTCGTATTTGACACAATGGTTCATATATATATATATATATATATATATATATA